CATGACGTGGTGGTATTGCATGGTAGAATAGTACAATATGATGCGGTGGTACAGCATGGAAATGTGCACAGCATGGTGCAGTGGTTCTGCATGGTGCGATGGTACAGTATGGCGCAGTGGAACAGCGTGTGAATTTGGTATGGCATGGTCCGATGGTACAGTATGGCGCAGTGGTACAGTTCTGCGCGATGGCACTGCATGGCACGGTGGTACAGCATGGGAATGTGATATAGCATGGCGCGATGATACTGCCTTTTGCAGTGGTACAGTACTGCGCAATAGTACAGCATGGCGCGGCGGTTCAGCATAGTGCAGTGTTTAGAACGTTTGCACTGAGTCACGGAGTAATTAAGGAGTTCATCTTCAAGGCGTCTATAGTTCGCGAAGTAAGGAATTGATCCGTACGTCGCGGATTCGAATCCCACTGTGGGACGTGGTGACCAGTCCGTCGGATGAGACCGTATAAACTGAGGTTCCGTGTCGCAGTAGGAGCTGGCACGAAAAAGATCCTGGTCCAGAGCGCCGGGTATAGGACAAAATTTGTAGCTCTCCACCGTCAAGTGGTGGCGTCTCAATATGAGTGAAAAATTATTAAGAGGGACGTTAAACAACATACAATTAATCAATCAATCTTCACGCCGCAGGTTCGAATCCCACTGTCGGAATTGGAGGCTGATCCTTATTGGCCGTATAACGTGAGATCCCAATGTCACAGTAGGTGCTGACAAAAGTCAAATTTTCAATCGCCTGTAAAATGTTTATTCATTATTGAACGAATCTCTAATGTTGCAGATAACAACACTTTTGTAACGAAATATCTAAAAGAAAATTTTTTAATTTTTATCTATTTGACTTAATCAAAATTCTGGTACAACATGAATATTTTGACTTAAGCTTAAGATGTTTCGTGATATCGGGGTTATGTCTTGCACTGGGAGACACATTTTGTATCAGAATACACAGGGGGTCCGATTACACGGTATTAAAAAAACATAGGAAAAAACAGTAGAATAAGAATTTTAGTATGAATAGGAATTCATAATGAAACGGATTGCAAGGTGTCGAATCAGACAGATGACGGAGTAGACAGGTGACGGTGTAGACAGGTGACGGATTAGACAGTTTTCACTGTATTTTTTTTTTCCTTTTCCTAGGTCGGAGATTTAAATTTTATTGTAATGCATTTCAAAGTTTTTTCTTTCAAGATAGCTTTTGGAGAGAAAATTTATGAAACATTAAAAACCTCCTCCATTGGTCCTCGTCCTGAAGGAAGGGGGATTTCCTGCTAGATTTCTGTCGCCGTCTTAAGAGTGACTTAATGTGTAATGGAAGAATTATGAATTAAATACTTCATTGAAAGCTTTCTTGTGTTAATCAAAAATACAGAAAAATCATACACATGTATTAAAAAAAATACAACCACCACATTGAAAAGGGGGTAAAGGACAGGGCTTTTGTTTGCTGTTGTTGATTTTGGCAGGGTTAGCCTCTAGTTTGCACTTTTATTCCTATATACTATTTATGTGAATTCTTTGTTGAAATTTAATATGAGTTAATTGTTTTGATAAAGATTTTCTATCAAGGACAAAACTTAACTTTAAGTTGAACGACACTTCACTCCGCTGTATAATGCGCTAGATCAAAAGATGAATAACTCTTCATGAAAAATGTCTATAGAACATATGATAAGCAATAAACGTGTCCGTCAATTTTTTGGAGGGGGATTGCCCTACATTGTAAAGGATTCGTCCAAATTGCACTACATTGTAAAGGATTCGTCCAAATATCCAGATTTTTTATCAACTTCTTTTCATTTCTAAAATAGTTCAAAGAAGAAAAAAAAAATTTTTAAAGGGAACTTCAACGATGTCGTTTAAAATCAGCATTTTGTAAATTCTATAGTTGTTATAATGACCCGCTTATTAGAATAAATCCTATCTCTGTGTCGTATTTTTGATGACTTGTTCATACTAATTTCGTTAGGCCATTGTTTTTAAACTAAATACTGACTACGGAATGTTTTATCTATCTGATCAATACATTGGATTCACAGCGAGTGTCACCGGTCAGCAGGGGAGCTTACTCCTCCTAGGCACCTGATCCCACCCCTGAAATCTGGACACGGGTCTGTCATCCTCACCATGCCAGGGTTCCTGGGTCAGCCTGTTAATTGCGGTAGTATTGTGAGGCTGGGGGCTGTATAACTGTTTATGCCTTATCTTCGTTCATTTTTGTGTGTTTCATCAGTGCAAAATTTGGCAATATTTCACGTGTTTTACAACGATGCAAGTTTTTAAATGATATAAAAATCAAATAAATTGCGTAAGCGGGTTATGTTAATTTTTTTTTCATTAAGTTTGTCAATAGCTGGGGTCTACACCCCGACCGTTCATTCCAGTAACAACAAACAAAGAAAGACATTTTTATTGTTATATTTATATCTGTTTATTATCATTTTAAAAGCAGGATATAAAAAGATTAATTATTGTGTTAATGATGCTGTTACGTCTTTGTACGTTTCATTGATGGAACGGCCACTGATTTAATGAAACTTTCACAGAATGATACATATTGCCTAATGTAGTTTATGCAGGGATTTGATCGCATATATTTTTTTTCCAGAAATAACATGAAGAAATTATATTCATATGCGGATGTAAATATTTTTGTGTGTGTTTCATCAATGCAAAATTTGGCAATATTTCACGTGCTTTACAACGATGCAAGTTTTTTAAATGATATAAACGTCGGAATCAAATTGAAATTGGGGTAAAGGGGGTCTTAATCAACAAAAAAGTCAATTTTCAATATCTTTCATTAAGTTTGTCTTTAAAAAAAGAGGGACTACACCCGGAACCCCTGTTAAAATCCCTACGCCTGTAATAAACTGAACGGAATTTTTACATTTTGTTTTAGTTACTTACTGAAATGCTTTGAATCGTCAAATGGGAAGCAACTCTTATAACTTCAAAACAATTCCTTTTCTTTTAACTTCACTATAAATGGTAAATTCTGCCCAAGACTCTTCCGAATGATGGATTAACATAGAGAGGAAGAATTCATAGCTCTATTAGAGCGAATAAACAATTTTAGTAAAATATTGAAAATCTAAGAATGTCTTGGTGCGACTTAATAGTAGGGATTGAGCCTGAACCGCGACTGGAAACTGTCCGTATTGTGGTAGCAATAAGTAAAATACAAAGAAATTATTATAGCATAGCTTGCGGGGCAAAATTGGACAAAAAGACACCTTAATTTGGCAAGTCTATAAAGAAATATAATATAGACATTTATGTCATTAAGAGTTATCTCTTATCAGAGTATTAATGAATCTTAATATACAATAACACATACTAACAAAAACGGAAGAGTAGGATAGTGAAAACCTAGACTCAAACTTCATTTCTTTCTTTTCAGAAAGACTAAAAACTAACATACAAACAAACAAAATTAAATTAAAATGTATTTGTATACTTCTCATGGACAAAATTTTACCAATCTTGAAAATGAAATTGATTTTAAACTTTTATATTCTTAAATCACATTTATTTAACTCACAAAAAATTTATCAAGAGTTGAATTTCTGTAGTAGTTTAAAGTACTCCGATCCTCGGCCAGGAAGAATAACTCTTTATTCTATAATTTTATTTAAAATGAGGCTTGAAAAATAAATCTATTCATGGAACAATTTTCATTTTATACCTCTCAGTGTGCTTCAAGGTCCTTTGAAGTTCTCAAATCGATCTTAGAAAAAAATAAAATTTTTATCCCTTTTTATAAAAGTATATTAGAATTATATATTTAATTGAAGTTCTTTTTATCTAACGATATTTACCAATGCTTATATACAAATGACACGAAATCAGAAGTGATTTATGGTGTTTAAAATCTCTATATATATGCATCGTAAAATGATCGAATTAAACAACAGATGCATCGTCTCAAGCCACGGTCCGGAGTCCGCATATAGCTACAGAATGGGAGAGGATCGTATATCTTGGCCGTGGTTTGCGATGATGGGATAGCTGATACAAACTAACAATTGTCAAAAAATTTAAAAATAACAATTGGGGTCATGTTTTAATGAATAAAATGAAAAAAATCACTGCGTAGTTTTTCATTTTTATTCAAAGTTGCACAAAAATTTAATTTGAAGTGAAAAGATATTTGTATAGAATAACAACTTGGATAATTTCAGAAGGGTAGACTATTGAACGTCACAGAAGGTTTACAATTTCTTTGTATACCACATATTATTTGCCTCATTTGCAATAAAATTAGGCCAAAAAATATATTCCAATCCAGGCATTCATTTTTTGTTTGTATCATGTCTTTTTTAAATACTATATATAAAATTGTACAATTTCTTCAAAAGCCTATCAGTGGATACGTATAAATTTCATTTCTAAAATGTGTTTTTGATCAAATTTGAAATGGAAAACGCTGTAATCTTGGGAGATATTTGAAATAAATCATACACACTGTATGATTTACAGAATGATTTGTCTGTTCATAAGAACTCTACTCTAGATACTAAAATCAAACTTTTATAAACTTGGAGCAATAATAAGCATTTTACAGGTCTTGCTTGCCCATCTCCTTAACTAGGTTTTTATCAAACAGAATTCAAATATTCTTTACACCACCCTCTAAATTTTAGCATAGCTGAGTCTGAAAAATCAATGTACTAAGTCATTCATTTTGCTTAAGACGATCTTTCTTATACATAATGACTTTTTAAAAAAAAATTTTACTGTGAGATTCCTGCTAATTTTGAAACTTAGCTACCATTATCCTGTGTTGAGTAGTCTTATAATCCTGCATGTAATAATAATAACTGCTACAAATCAGCCTCCAGACACTTTCTGTCATAGGAAAACTGCTTTTTAACTTTGATCTAATTCTATAGAATAATATTTTTTTGCCCACAGGTATTTTCTGCAATGACCTATACGAGTTATCTCCCATGCACAATAAAATAATGAAAATAAAATACTGAATATATATAATTTTGTTTTATTGTTTGTATTTTTTTCTTGATTTTATACAAAACATTAATACCTGGTAATCAGGTAAAATAAACCATTCTCCAACAAAGCATTATACAGCTGTTAAATGTACAATGGTGTCTGACTGACTACAGGTGTGAATGCTGGCTCACTGTGTTTATAGCAGTCATTTATAATCAGTCAAATATAATGTAAGTATTCATAAAAACGCACCAGTTCAAAGTGTTGCATCATCAAAATGGAGAAATATTACATAATGATTAAAAATATATACATTTTTTGATCATTATACTTCAGACATAAATTCCTATCAAAAATAATCCAATAGAACTACATATTATTCAATTAGCATTGTTCAAGATTTGCAGATTTTTCTATGAGACTTTCTAAACTTCTTATTCTTATTGTTAATTTTAAAATGAATGATCTAGATCTTGTGAATATAAAAAGAAAATGCCATCACAAAATTCTACCAGAGTTGGACGCAAGTTTATAAAGGCACTATATAGCAATAGGTGGGGCGAATATCTATTCATATATTTTTATCATAAATACACAAAAATATATTGGCTATTTCAAAATGCACCAAAATTTACTTTACAGATAAGTCATCATATCACATAACTCTCAATTTCCCATCTCCAAAATGTACTAGGTCACAATCAGTTTCTTTTACTAACAGTCAGTAGTGATTTTAAGTTAGAAGAAAAAAGGATGCTCCAAAGTAGCACCATATAAGGCTAATTCTTCCTTCAAAGATAAAAAGAACTCTGTGTAAAATATATAAAAATGATAATTATTTAACACTTTTCCCAATCCCCACCCCTGTTTAAAGAAGTCCTTACCTAACACTACTGCTAGCTTCTCAATAAATAAAATAACTGCATATCTGTTTCTTTTTCATTCACATTAGGGATATTTTTGACCATGGAGCATGGTGCAAAAAAAGACGTAACCTGAGAGAAATAGGCAGAAAGTATAGATTGCATAGGTTTGTCTATATCAACAGTTTCAGACACCGTTTTGGTAAAGGCAAGATTTATATATGAGTCACAATAATAACTTGGACATTTCTCACTCTGAACAAAATAAATGGGACCAAAAAACTATATTTCTAAAAAAAAAAAGGGGGAGGGGAAGAAAAAGAAGTCTCCGTATAAATCATTCCAGACAGGAGTTTCCACATAACAAGTAATCTGCATTTCCCCCCAAAAAATTATTTCTTTTCCGCAATGTTACAAAAAAGAGAATTTCCATTTTCCCCCAATACTTTTAGGATAGCAGTTTGAATGGAAATGAGAAAATTTCAAATGCCAAAATCTAAATTTTAAGTAGGGATCAATTTGCAAAAAAAAAAAAAATGATCTGCCATAATTACCAGTTGTGTGGTATATTGGAGTTAATATGAATAGATAACAGGATTTTATACAGTGAACAAAAAATTCCAAACATGCAATGTACACACTTAACAAATGCCTATAAATGACCAACAGACATACAGATGGGACATCATGCATAGTTGAACGGGGAGAAATACTCAAATAATGGTGAATAATTCTACATCAATGTTTGTAAATGTGTAAGGTTTGAATGCCACATTGACAATGTACAAATGCAGTAATATACAACTGAGATCAACAAAAACAATAAAAAGATCCTCTCTCTAAATTTACAACAGCACCTCCCCAACATACTAAATAATGAATTCTCCCTAATCAATGCTCTCTACTGGAGAAATTCTTCTCTGGTTTTTTCTTACACTAAAGTAAAATTCTTATACTTCTTAACTCCCTTTGTAAAAAATGTCTACTCATTACCCAAAAATACCATCACATGCCCCCATCTGCACTACAACCTTAGACATTTAACAACCTAAAACAGTCGCAGTCAAAATATGTAAAAATCTTAACAAAGATATTCTCAACCATTTCATCATAAAATTTAAAACTTCCTCATTAAAAAAAGTTATTGTAAAAAAAAAAATCAACAGTGAAGCATAAACTAACAGCTGACTTTAAAACAGTCACTTAAATTTCTTCATTCAAAACAGTATGTTCATTATCCATAATGTATTTTATTCAAAATTCTGAAAGGCAGCTTTGACCTTCCCTCACACCAGACTCTCTCTCTCTCCCTCTCTCTCTAATACACTGACACAGTCTTTGATTGGCATGGAAGAATTATGATAATAGAAGCCCTACAGAATGGTTAATATTTACAATTCTCAATAGATCATTAGTTTACATCTCATAATTAACCATTTGATACACTAATTTTTCATTTAAAATATACATGTGTATATATATGTATGTACATATCGTAACCAAAATTTTGCCTACAATTCGGCATTACATTGGATTGGTACTATACTTATGAAAAACATTACAAAATAAAAACAATGCCAAGTGTTGGTTTTGCAATAACATCCTAGATTTAAGTCCATTATTCATTAATCAGTAAAAAGTAGGTGTAAATGCATTCTGATGGTCAGACTGTGAAAGAGTGATGTTTACAAAGACAACAAAACAATATTTTAAGCTTATTAGCTTTCACAATCTTAGTAAAATGAAAGGGGTGAAAAGTTCACTTGTCAACAAATGTTTTGTTTTTTTCTGTGTGTGGATGTATCAATGAATATTGAGAAAATAAAATATTTGGCATTTCTTTTTGTGTGATATATTTATATACATGCTTTAATGATGAAGGAAAAAATCCTAAAAACACAGCCAGTAAATTGTTCACTCATTAAGGCTGGGTTTAAGGTGTTGAAATAATGACGGAATTTGTAATCCATTATTTTTTTTTAAAAAAAAAATCAACTGTAAAATCAGAGTTAAAACAGCAATATAGCAATGATTTCATTTACCTTCTAAATAATAAATAAATTTGCATATGTATAAAAATAGAAAATTTACGAGAGACGTGACATGAGAGCCTTCGTCAGACAGCAGTAGTTAACGTCACCGATAGCAGTATAGGAGCTGCCTAATGTGATGTGTGAAGTGGGCGTGTCTGAATTCACCCAATCAACTGGAAGAACAGTGGGGGTGTGGCACATTCTGTAGGTGACTTCCCTTGTGGCACTAGATGCTGAGGCTACTTAAAGCATTGGGGGGGTGGGGGTGGGGGGCTAGTCTTTCACCAGGCGGTATATGTGATGCTGGGCACCATGTTCACTGGTGGAGACTTCAAACACATACGATATGCACATTAACGTTTCCTGTGTGTCACGATTACTGACAACCTAAAAAGTAAACAACGTAAAAATCAATTCAGGGCTTTTGATTATATTTCTGTAAAAAAATAACTCATTGAGCGTTATTAATCCAAATTTAAGCAAGATAGTTCTCTTAAACTTGCATTGCAGATTTTTAAGATGAAGTATGAAGATAAAATTGCATAGGATCTTTAAATAATTCTGACAGAACAAAAAAAAAAAAAAACAGAAAAAATCTACAAAAAATTTAGTCCAGTCTCAAATTTTAGACACTGGTTCCAAGATCATTCACAACAAACTGTAGACATACTTTTTTCCATGTGGTATTAATTTATGCTGTGTACGCGGTCACAAATTTTCCGCGGAAATTTGTTTGTCCACGCCTTCTTAATATAAATGTAAGGCACAAAGTGACAGTCTAGGAAATCCGCGTAATTTTCTTCACGCGGATTAAAGAGAAATGTAGATTACGTGGAATTATGACCCCTAAAAAAGTACGTCTACAGTTATTTTACAGACTTTTTATAATTTTTTTCCCAGCATGCTGCTTGATTATTTACCTGTAGAATGGTGAAATTTTCTAGCACACTGTTCATCATGTATTTTTCTGGTAGATGTTTAAGTTTATGTATAAAGTTGATCATGTATTCACACATCGGTGATCTATTTATCCTGTACACGTATCGACCATTCTCGTACCGGGGAAACTCAGTCTGAAATCAAATATCACAATTATCTGTAACGGCAAAAAGTGACCCACTTTATAAAAGAAAATAGGTGACCCATCTATAAGAAATTATACTTTCCAATTTAATTTTTTCCCCATAAAGATTTTGTGAACAAATGATCTGTAAATTTAAATAAATTCTTACTTTTGGGTAAAAGATCTCATTCATTTAATTAAAATGTTTTGCTAGTTCCTAAATGTGCATTACAAAAAGGTTTGCTTGCTTTCTGATCAATTTAATATTTCGTGAACCCCATTCTCCCTTTTTTTTTTAAAAATCAAATCTGTTGACGTACCTCCACTTTTTCCACGACTTGTTTTCCAAATGAACACACCTTGGTGGAACAAGTTATTGCCATATTTTCATTGCTCTCATACCTGTAAGTCACATTTCACAAACATTAAAAGGAGGAGGAATTACACAATTACACAAACCCTAGCTAAAATAGCAATGTTATTCAGTTTGTTTGAAGTAAAGGGTTATAATAATGCAAAGGCATGAAACAATTGTTCACCTATAAAACCTCAATTTTTCATGCTTTTGAAAATTAACAAGAAGTCTTTTGAAGGTTTACTGGTCCTCTAAACTAGTTCTCCGTCCCAATACTTACTGACTTGTGACGCCGTAAAACGTTCCCGTCTCGTCCTGAACATTTGTGTTTATATCTGCCTAAAAATCAAACAATGAAAACGTTTATTTCTTTCTTTTTATACCTCAATAAGGATAGGTTTAAGTTTGTTCATATTATGAATGCCAAGTAAAATAAAAATCAGCTTTCAAGAATGAAGCTAAAATACTTTATGTCTATTACATCTTTCTTGTATATTAAGCAGAATAATTTAGAGAAAATTTAATTATTCCCCGCCCTACGGTTTCTGAACTCACCCAGAACTTGACGAGGAAAAACGCCGATTGCGGCCCTTTGTCATACAACTCCTTTAACCCGCCCTTCTTCTCCGGAAATTTGTCGTAAATTTGCCGGATATCAACTGCCTAAAAATTAAAAGTACACCTTTAGATTCCTTATTTTGGTACCTTGTAAGCACAGCTGTTTTAATCCAACAAGAATTGTACATCTCATCTAGTACAAAGTGGATGATAAGCAAAGTTAGATATTACAGACATAGTAAATTAACATATTTTCAGGTTAAATTTATAACACAGTAATAAAGTAGTCATACACAATGTTTATAAACATGCAATTATGAATCAGAATCAATATGTATCACTAATCATCACATTTCAAGACTTAATCCTAACCCGTAATTATAATATTTCATATGAATTACAAGAGAAATGAACGCACCTCTAGCAGGGGGTCTGAGTAGCTTGCATTGGACCCAATGTGGACAAACAGGTGCTTGTGAAACTGAAACAAAGAAAAAAAACATTGTAAAATGTAAACACACACCAGTAATATAAACTGATAACAGACGCTAGGACTCTATCACCTGGTTCTAAGCTTTCATTTTTCTCTCCCCAAGGAATCATTTACATTTTATTTGATTCATTTACCAGTCATTTTTTGTCTGAATTTCTTATCATTTTTCACTTCATCTGAAATAGATCTTGTTGTAAAATTTGATCTGCTAGGTCAAGGCAATGATAGTCTGATAAACGCAAAACGTAACAACTTTAGGATAAAATTGATCCTGATTTTATACATCTCTTTCCAAGTTAATTATTTATCATGTTTTGGCTGATATTAAAATATAGTTGTGAATTCATACATGGATTCACCCCAGGTAATTATCAGTAAGGTACAACCAATCAAAGATGGGCCGCGATCAATGAGAAATCAATACACCACAGTAGTAATAGGTCTCTTTATTCTAACTTAATATCTCTTGAATGACTTGACCTTTAGAGAATGAGAAGAAACGATGGCTGTGTGATGTCAGACAGTTTACTCGCTGTTAGCCCTGAGTCAGGCTAAATCTAACATTGGTTACAGTAACACTCGCTGTTAGCCCTGAGTCAGGCTAAATCTAACATTGGTTACAGTAACACTCGCTGTTAGCCCTGAGTTAGGCTAAATCTAACATTGGTTACTACTTGATTCTCCAAACTTAATTGATAAAAACCTTCAGTGTATTGCCAGTGAGATAAATTTATCTGTGGAAAACAGATCATTAAATATAGATCAGAACTCTATTTTACCCTCAATATATATTTCTTGGTTTATGATTTTAAATATGAATAATAATAAGTCATTCATGTGATTTAATGTTAGCATACTAAATTACTTATAAAAAATCAGTATTAACATTGGTTACAGTAATTTTTTGGACTTTAATGTTCTACTGATTAAAATTATAAAAAACTTCAGATGTGAGATAAATTTATCCAGATCAGTAAATATAGATCAGAACTCTATTTTACCCTCAATATATATTTCTAAATTTATTTCTAACACCATGTGATTTAATGTTAGCATACTGAATTACTTACAAAAAATCAGTATTCTAGAATTTTTTAATCTAATTAAAATTAGATGTTTGATCCACTCGCATACTCGCTACACTAACACCTAACAACATCCCATAACAGGTCACGTCAGAGGTCAAATTCTAGACTTATATTCACTTCAACAAATATACCAAGATCTTGCAGGCGACTATTTGATTGGTTGATAGAATTTGACCTCTGATGTGACCCTCTACGGGATGTTGTTAGATGTTAGTGAAGCAAGAATGCAAGTGGAAACCAACATCTAAATTTAATTAAATTGAAAATTTTTGGACTTAATTGAACTTTTTTAAAATGAAGTCTTAATCTCGACAAGAAGAACATTGTCTATAAATGCTTTATGATGTTTCAATAATATAGAACGTAATCTTGTGATGCTGCTTCATTTCTTGACTGCTACATATACTTACAGTATCTGGGTCTCTGGTTTGTTCTAAGAAAGCCGAGAACTCCACAAGACGAAGTTTGGGGCCGGCAATGGAGCGTCCCTGCCAAGCAGGGGGCATTGACTCGTTCATAGATGACGGGGGCTTCACATCTGTGTTGTAGTTACCAAACTGGGGTTTCACACTGAAAAAAGGTACAAGGGAAGAAAGAATTAGACATTATAAATGTCTGTGAATTGCATATAGGACTTTTAAAACCAATAATTCCAGAATACATCAAGGATGTGGAAAATGAAAATTTTTTTTAGAAGATCAATTACAATTACTTACTCTTCTTGGGGCCCCATGTTGTTTTGCCAAAACTAAAAAACAGATTAAAATGTTAGAAATGAACATAAATTACTATGATTTTAATCTTTTTCAATATGAATTTATCAATAGATTCTGTATATCACTGAGTTTCTGGCTAGTAATGGTTATAGCAGTGCTTTAATTTTTTTTCCTCCAAATTTCAAAATAAGATTTCTTTTTTGGTAAAATTAAAGATTGTCAATGCTAAATGGACTGGAAAATCCTACCAAGTAACAAAAGACTTAGCATAACAACAACCCTATCCAATCAAGTTTTAAAATAGATGGACTGAAACTAAAAAAAAAGGACCTGATTCAATGACTTTTCTACCAAAACTAAGCTGACATTGGTAGAAAAGAAATGTGAATGGGTCAGATTTCAAATTTGACACCTTGGCCTTCTAGGGGGTAAGGAAGCCTGCTTACCTGAGACCCACTGGGCCCCCCAGGGTAGGACGGTCGAACACTGCCCATGTTGGGCACGGGCAGGCCCTGGGCGAGGGCCTTATTATGGATAGCACTAGCGGAGACGATCTGGGCGGAGGACATCGAGGCCATACTCTGGAGAGCCTTGTCTTTGGCGGCCTGATCCTGCATCGGGATGGACTGGAGAAAAAATCAGAAAAATTACAAACAACTGGTCAGAAATCCAAATTATAAATAACTGGTCAGAAATAAAAATTATAAGAAAACCTGGTCAGAAATAAATATTACAAATCACTGGTCAGAAATAAAAATTATTAGAAAACCTAGACAGAAATTATAAAAAGGTATCGTGTTAATTTCTTTGTGAAATCATGAAATAATTTAGCAAGATAGGAATTAGTGCAAAATAAAGAACAATTTCAATTAATTAAACTAAAACTGAATTGGTCTACTTTTTAAAATTATGCATCCATCATACTTCAAACAGGTCTGTCATAAACGAAGGTATACTGTTAACTATCTGATTTGTCAAAAGCAAAGGTGTACACAGGCTGAATTGAATTTAGACATAAAGTACACAATCATCAAATCTGCCTTTCAATCTTTTATTATTTTAGTTTATTTTTCTTGTTAAATTGATTTTCCAATTGAGGCTCATAAAAAAAAAGAAAACTACCGTAATCATTATAGGATCTTTATAATCCTTGTTATTTTCCCTCCAAAATAAAAATTCTGTTTATTATGGATTAAAGTCTCTCCCCCCCCCTTTTTTTTTAACATGAAAGAACAATGTTTTTTTCCCAAATTTTACTCAGTTAAAAATGCTGTTTATAATTTTTTCTGTAGTTTATCTGCAGTTGATCATTTCCTCTAGATCAAAACCAATCTTAAAATCTAGAATAGTTATATGATTCATCCCATGCAGAATTGTGACAGGGCTGTTTACACCAAATGGCCACGGACATTTGATTTGCAAATTCTAAAATTCTATATATATCTAAATCAAATCAAATTTTCTTTTTAATATGCACAATGTGGGGGTATTTTGAGAAGAGCTTTTTGTATAAATCATGTCTATTGTCAGTACATGTTTAGCATAAAATTAGTCACCAATGGAGAAATGAGCCAGGTCTTCTTACTGAAAAGTGTCAGAAGTGAACATCTTCATTCCACTGTCTTAAAGAGATTCAGACAGAGATTTTACTTCATTTATTAAACCAGGGACTAAAACCATGTGCTTTTTATCCCATTCTTAAGACAGGTTCATAATTAAAGCAACTCCACACATAGTGAGTGAGTCTTATAACAGGAGGACAGTTTACAAACAGAAGTTCAATCATCCACATCCATAACAGTTCAGAGCTTACACACCTGTGTGTTTTTTTTTTGAAAACTTAGAAAAAAATACAAAAATAAATTCCACATGTGAAGAGATTTGGGTTTTATCTCTGAACCTGCGTTATCTAGTACACTGATAAACAAACACTTCCTTCATTATTCAGGCCTAACCTAACACTGTGCACAGATTCCTAGAAAATACCTCTTATACTCCCCTAGGAATAGTTTTATTTAGAAAAAAAAATTGGATTCTCTGCACAAATTTGGTAGCCAAGTCAAGTATTTGCCCATCTCAATTATGAGTCATTACTTTGTCTTTTCTGTGAAATCCTGTTTCGATTTTTATGTTTTTATCTCCCTAAGCCCTTCTTTTGAAGCACCCTGGACTATGGAGACAATAAGTATCCGTGTTTCTTGACTTCTCTAAATCTTTGATGGGGATATGGGTGGTGGTCACTTCTCATTGTCTGCCAACATTACTTCTAAAATGGACCAGACTTTGGGTGGTAGATAGACTTCTTGAATGAAGTTGAATCTTAAGTTGTGCCTTTCCAGCAGGCCAGAGATGGCCCTACTTTTGAGTGGGGACTTGTTTACCTTAAGTTGTGCCTGAATTTCTTTGGCTTTCCGGCGGGCCAGGACTTGTATGTGACTGGACACCTGTTTCCTTGTCCGGGTTTTTCCCGTTCTCAGTTTGATATATCGGGCAATCAGCTCATTACGACCTGGAATTAAACAATAGCCATGTGTACATTAAGATTTGCATGCTAATTCAGTAATAGCTCATCAGAGATAATTCTATTTTAAAATCGTCTTCAACCAGTACCTGTTATGTCAGCTAAAGCTTTCTACATATATACATTCATGCATACTTTTTCTTCATAGATCTTTCATTAATTTAAAATAAGTCAATATATAATAAAATTAAGTAATATACAAAATGTTATGAAACATCAATTCTATATTCTCTTACTGATGTCTACAAATAGTAAACTTGTGATTTGGTTTGTTTAGTGTTTATACTTGGTCATTCATGAAATCCATATACAAAGTCAACTTCACACTTTTCTTGGGTACAAATTTCATATCAAAAAAAAAAAAAAAAAAAACAACCAAAGAAGCAAAAATTATATCTTATAATTATATCCTATTTCTCTATATTTTGATATTTCATAACATCACAATATTTTTTTGGAACTTTGTATAACCATGTAAACATAAACTAATATGAAATGTTTTCCTAGTCAGAGTGACCCCCTCGCTCTCCCCAAACACACACATCTCCTCCCAAATCTGTATCAAAATCTACACAAAATCTTCATTGCTGATTGATCTCAGGTGAGCAGGACACCTGTCTGCTTGACAATAAAGATAAGTTTGTTACTGATTGTAACTTCTTATAAAGCCCCGACAGCTCGGTCTGATTGACACCCCCAATAGCCGCTATCTGCTCCCTTAGATTGCCGCAGACCACTCTCGCACCCTCCTGCTGCCTAGGTAGATTTATTTACTTTGATATTAATTTTCTGTCTGACTGACAAACTTGTGTCCCAAGTGCCGGCTCTGTGAGTTTGATAAGTACTGATAATAACCATGGGTAGCTCTACTGGATTCAGGCATCTACCTGAGGCAGAGCAACAGTGGCATGGGACTCTGGGGGTTATAGGAGATTCCCGGGGTGGGGGTGGGGGGTTATAGAAGATTCCCTAGGGAAGCCCTCTATGCTGATCTGTCCTCACAACATCAAAATTCCTGGCTTCTCATGCTATACCCCATCCCACCCTCCTCTCTCTTTTTTATGAGTAATGCTTACTGCTTTATCTCGCTTAAATCCATTTCAGATTGCTTCTGCCTAGAATCAATTTCCAAACAATTAAACACTGTGTCCAGAAAATCTTACTTCCCTATCCCCTGAAATTTAACTTGGTTGTAAAGTGGACTTAAATGGCCTTTTACTACAATATTATTACAATATGTATCATGTCAAGTTAAGTCAATCCTCATAAGAATTACACAACAGCTATTGACTAGTAAGAAGGTATGTTTCATAACTTTTTCTTTGTCATTCTCAGGGTCCACTGCCCATTTCTGGTCTGTTATTTGGTCAGTGCCCCTGTATTGGTCACCTTTTTAACTGGTCAGTGTCTACTAGTTCTCTTGGACTGCAAGGATTTGTTGAGAAAGGTTAATCATCTAATGACAAAGGAACTCCTGCAACTGACCACCCCTCCATCCTAGACATCTCCCCTGATCTTTATATGACCATCCGTCTCAATAAGACCATTAGTCTCAATAACAATGCTCTGTACCCAAGCATTAAGGGGACTGTTACATCTGCCGGGCACCAAAAAATGAGATGAAACCTAGAGTAAAACGAGAGAACTGGCTCTACACTAAACAGAAACACATCAGGTGTTCTTTATCGCGGTGCGGATCAGTCAATCTTTCCCTCTGTTTATTTTCGAGGTATTCTTTACACACAGACGTTCTATGCTTTGCGTCTTTTGTATGTATGTATATTTAGTTACACACGTAACATCAGGCCGAGGGCTATTATGAAAACTCTACAAGACAGGTATACCTGCTAACAAACAGGTTAGCTGATTACAGGTAGAATTACGACCTGTGCTATCACTCCTACAAGTAGACAATACACCTCTGTATTAGCGTGCCCTAGTTTTTTTTCGTTCTGTGGTGTGTTCTTTAGAGCTTTTTAACCAGGTTGTAAGGTAAACTTTTGGCAGAGCCCCAACACTTGATCTATTTGCATACTGTCAGAGGGGTTTTTACATGGGGGGCCTGAGGGGGAACGGATCGGTTTTACCAACCCCGCTGAGGGAAGCATTAACTGGGACCGCTGGGATATTTATTTTTGTGGCATATTCAAAGAACTGGACAGTCTGAATTAAGTGTATTTGCTCTGCTCTTGAAATGAATAAACTTTTGGTAAACAGTTGTATGGAGATCTCGTTTACTGGGTCCTAATTTAGGTACCAGGAATTAGTCATCGTTTATACGTACACCTTGGCATTGAGTGATGACTCATCTGCATTAGAAAAAAACGAGGCACTTTATTTCTTACGTGGCTTCCTCTACCTGTCTATTGTCCCTGTGTCTTACGAAAATCTGGAAACTTGAAGAGTTCTATTTCAACAGGACTAAACAATAAAACTCAAAATATCCGCTAAGATTTGTAACACTGGCAAAGAAAATGTCTGAAACATAGCGTTTTATGTTCTCAGTTAAGAACATAAGATAGATAAAGATAGCATAGAAGTACATCTATTTGAATACAAATTTCAAGAGGTGGGCTGATTTTTTTTAATTTTCAAAATATTGTGTAATAAACAAGCCAAACAGATCGAGTTAGGACTGAAAATATTTTACAATCATTACACTAATAATTCAGTTACTATATCTCTTGTAATAGTGAGTGAAGCAATGAAGGAAATTAATTAAAATCTGGAGAGTACTTTTATCTGTATAACAGGAGGAGAGATGGCTATCTTATCAGCTGATCTGAGTTTTATACAAAGCCAGCCTGTGTAGAGATCTCCCTGATCTGGGTATCACCCCCAGGTCAAACCACATACAGTACTTCTATAACAAGTGCCCCCTCTTTACCAATAAACATGGCCTTTGTTGTCGCCTGGTCTCCGAGTGTTGATAAAACGGGAAACTTCATCTAAAGTCAGTCAACCTATCACAGCTAAATCTCTATACCTCTTCTGTATCACTTGCTCAGGTTAGTCAGGTATGACCCCCCTAACATTATCCCCACCTGAACAAAAACCTCAATTACTGGTCAAGAAAAAGGAGGGGATCAGATTCACCCCTCTGAACTGTAAATGCAAACTCAGCAGATTTGGGTTAAAAATGTAAAAAAAAAAAAATTAAAAAAGAAGCTTAGATCCAAAGAAGAGAAAAGCAGTGGATAGAGAGAATGGAGCAGAGATATTAAGGACAATCTCTTTATCAATGCCTAATTAACCCAGCTGTCCCCCGGGATCAGGGGGAGGGATAGTAATGATTGAATCGCTGTCAGATGTTTCACATACTCAGCATATCTTGCTGTATAGCTCACAGCTGATGGTTGACATTTCATTCCCTGATCAATTTGACCCCTGTGACATCAATATTTGATTTACTGTGTCATCAGAAATAACTTTCCTTTTTCTCCTGCATTCTTATAAAGAGACTGGCAGTGACAGTATAAAAATTTATGTCTAATTCCAGAAGGTTTCTTGCATACCTTTGCCATTTTTCACATGAATATCCAATTAATGTCTCTACTTCATAATTATCCCCCCTCCCCCCCCCCCAAAAAAAAAAAAATAATTGAAAATCAAAATAAATTTATAAATCTTACATCCCTAAAATACACAGAACAGTAGCTACCACCTGAGAGAGAAGCCCAAGCAAGGCTGGTCATCTCTCTATCTCACCTGAAAAGGTCGGGCTAATAGACGGAAATGACCTACCATATTGACGCATTAAGCAATCAGGAGAAAATACAGGCTGTCAAATGTGATTTACTGCATTACGCCTTACCATCAAAATCTAATTATTGGACAGAACTAAGAGTACGAACGTAACAATGAGTTCTACCTGGTATCGACTTCCCTTAACTTTTGAATTGTCAGTATTAAAAAGTGACCTAGTAATTCCTGTGTATTCCAAAGATGACACTTTAACAGAAAATTTATTACTGTGTCTGTATTTCTATATGATCAATCCCCCCAACCCCAAAAATTTGTATTATCGCAGACTTGACTGTATTCGCAAAAGTTTTTACATAAACTCCTAATCATAGAAGTTTCAAACATTTGTTTCCGGACTATTGAAGAGTTTGTTAACTTTGAATTCTTGTTCAAATATCTTTTCAAAACAACTTTCTGAACTCTGATCCCTAACCCCTGGTCTGCTTAACTGAACCTCTTTGTTCAAATACAACAGAAGAGTAGAGCATTACCCCTCCCCCCTTTTATACTGGTACTTTCTCACTTGGTTATTAACCCTCCGACTCCGTTATATCTTTTTTTCCTCTCTCCCTCCTCCCTTTTTTCTCTCTCTCTGAAATTCTTCCCTACACTTGTAAATTTCTCTCTCCACAGTGCCCACCTTTTATAACATCTTGACCCCCTCTCAATTTTGATAACTCCCTTACTTACCGTACATCTTTCCCTCATCTGAGAGGATAATTTTCCGCCGCCCACAAGGGGGGTATATAGCAAGGGCCTCCTGGAAGCTTTGTTCAATGTCTGGACTCCACACCCCTTCTGCATCATTTGATAGGTCGTCGTTATTGTTTGTTTCTGGGCTATCGGGGTCGTCTTTGGGGAGGGGGTCTGCCCCCAGATTCTCATTGCTCCACGCGGAAGACATCCACACCCCTCACCTGTAAAACACAGGTAAAGGTATAAATATTAACCCGTAAAACACAGGTAAAGGTATAAATATTAACCTGTAAAACACAGGTAAAGGTATAAATATATTAACCTGTAAAACACAGGTAAAGGTATAAATATATTAACCTGTAAAACACAGGTAAAGGTATAAATATTAACCTGTAAAACACAGGTAAAGGTATAAATATTAACCCGTAAAACACAGGTAAAGGTATAAATATATTAACCTGTAAAACACAGGTAAAGGTATAAATATATTAACCTGTAAAACACAGGTAAAGGTATAAATATTAACCTGTAAAACACAGGTAAAAGTA